CAAACCCACGAATGATGCTGATGCTGATGATGATGCTGATGCTACTGAAAACCGTCAAGATCAAACGGTAAAATCTCTGACATTTGCTTTTTCAGAATTTTAAATTTTAAATAGACGTCGGTGTTTATTTTAAAACCCATCATCTAGTTTAACCTAGACGACCTTTCTATTGTGGAGCAACGTTAGAACGTTTACACAACGACTGTTATGTATTTACTGTCGTCTATAACCTTTACCCTGTCAGTATGTTTTAGAAACCGTCGTTGATATTATATACCATGTCAGTTTTTTGATTTGTTGGAGTCGTTTATTTTACTTAATGTACTAACTTTATTTATTTCTTGTTACAGGACATGTCAAAGCTTGACATGCCAGCTCCTCTGTTAGCCCTATGCCAATATGTGGAGACCAAGAAGCCTGCTAATGAGACCATTAGAATTCACATGCCAGAGGAAGTCTTTGGCACTGATCATGATACCTGGCTCTTGAGTAAAGACATTTTACAGTTTGCTTCTGTGGTTGAGATTGGATCCACAGTGATTGCAGTATACATGAGGTAATTCTAGAAATCCAATTTTGTTTTTTTTACATTTCCTTTCTTTTAAATTAAAATCTCATTTAATTGAATTTCATATGTTTAATTAGGTACTTATTTAACTATTTAAAAATGGAAAATATGGTAAACCTTATTGGCCTTGTGAACCCTGGACAAGTCAGCTCTCAATCTAGAACGTTATCTCACCATTCAAAACATCTCTCAGAATGCCTAAAAAACGCAGATGGGGATCAATTTTACTTGCCTTATAATCTAGGGTTAGTCCCCTTCTATACTTGGTCCCTTGTAATATTTTTTTTGTAGTATATTTAATATATATGGATCATTTTGTGTAGGGGTCATTAGGTGTTAATAATTGTGAGATCAGCTAAGGAGACTGTCTATTACATGGATTCATTGCCAAAACCGCTCTGTTGACGAGGACATGAGAAATATAGTGAATACGTAAGTATATTAACGAAAAAGTAAGATTTTTATTTATGCATTTGAATGATAGACGGATTTTTCAAATACCGACGTTGTAGTGAAAATACAACGACGGTATATTATAACCGACGTTTGAAATCATTTACAACGTCAGTATTTTTTTGAAACCATCGTCTTAATTGAAATATCATGTCGTTTGTGTTTTTCATTTTAGGATGTTTTAATTTTTTATGTTCAACTTTAAAATTTAAAAACAATTTTGGTTATACGTCGTTTTTCTTCGTCACCGACGTTAGAATGATACACAACAACAGTTCTTATTTTCCGCCGTTTGAACTAAAATACGACGTCATTTGTTTTAACAAACCGTCGTCTTCACTTATTTACCACGACGGTTAATATTTTTTAATGCTGATTTTTAGTTTTGTCATTAACACTTTTTGTTTTCTTGAAACAGTTCAATCAAAATGTATAACTCTCACACAGGCAAACAATCATCACGTAAATCACCCATATGGAAAAATCTACAAGGCACTCCTAGACAACCAACAAATGTAGAGTGTGGCTATTACGTGATGTGTTTCATGAGACATATAATTCATGATCCAGGCTTAGCATTTGAGAAGAAGGTAAAATTTAAAATATAATTTCTTTGTTTTAATACCACGACGTTTTCTTTTAAAACCGTCATTTTAATATTTATAACACGTCAATTTTTGTTCTTTATTTGCAGTTTGACAAGAAAAAGGAAACAGTTGTGTATACTCAAGAACATATTGACGACGTCAGGCTGGAATGGGTAGAATTTGTGAACAAGCAATTACAGAACAATAAGTGATATAATTTATTTTTAAAATGTTTAGGTTTATTTTAATTTTTTATAATGTATATAAACATATTTTTGGTAATTAATTGAACATTCATAAAAAAAAATCAAATGAAATATATTTTTGTTTCTAGTTTTTTTTTTGGATAAAATATTTATGTCATTAAATGAAATAAAATGAAAATATATCATAAAAATTTTAATTAAATTCCAAAAACCAACGTCTCATTCTTATTTATACGTCTCATATCTATGAACAACCGCCGTCTTGAAGTAGAGGGAAAGAAAACATCGACTACATTTCTCAAAAACGTCATGTAAGGTTGATATACACGAAGGTTAATATAAACATACGACGTCAGTTAGTACAACAGAGAGGACGTGTTAAAAGAGTACAACGTCGGTTATAAGGTAAAACGTGACGTTGTATATCTAAACAATGTCGTCATTAACATAATAATCGACGGTGTAAATTCTACTTACGTTGGTTATTAAGAAAAGGTTGACGTAGTAACATACTAATCACGACGAGGAGTAAATTATGACGTCTAGTGTTTCTAGGACGGCGTTATGTGTTATGTACCGTCGTTGTAAACCGATGCAACGTCGGTTATGTACATTTGTCATTTAATTTTTGTATGACTTTTATATTTTATTCCTAACATTCATAATAATTTCAAAACAAATTCCATAGAATAAACTGACAACTACCATGCACTCATTGAAAAATTTTATCTCCCCTAAATGTTTAAAAATTTTAATTTTTAAAATATTTTAATTTGTATTTATTTACTAATATTCATAATATATTTAAAAAAATCCAAAAATTAAACCGACAAATTCTATGCACTCATTCAGGCAATATATCCCCCCTACATGCCTGAAAATTTAAATGTTAGATTTCAAAATTAGAAGTGATAACAAAAGTCAAAAAGATTTAGAGACAAAGCACAATAGTCATATACTTTCCATAACATAACCATAAGGTTTATGTGATCTATTGGTGGTCATAAAATTCAAAAATATTTAATATGGATATTGGCCTACTTATATAGAAGGCATTGTTGTAAGGAGTCTGTAACAATTTTCGGTTCATTTTACTCATACTTGTGTATTTTTTTATAATTATTGTAAAATTTAGGGTTTAGGGTTTAGGGTTTAGGGTTTAGGTTTTATTAAAACGACGCCGGTTTCTCTCTCACTTTTTGGTCAATTACGCGCTTTCGAATCCCAGGAAACGCAAAGCAAATCTAATTATTGAATACTTTAGACGCCGGTTTTTGTATGGGCGACGTCAAAATGCTTTACAACGGCGTCGGTGTAACATAACCGCCATTGTAAGTTTGAAATACAACGACGACTGGGTTGTATTTACCGTCGTATTTAATAAACGCGGTCCTTTGAAATTTTTGACTGGGATCTAAAATTTTCAGAATTTTCCTTTAACCTTAAAGTATTTCATTCTCTTTCTTCAACGTAAATTTGTCTTAAAGTTTTCGCTCTCTCTCAAAGCATTGGGTATATTCTCTGAGCTCTCTCAAGCATTTGATATTTTCTCTCAGCTCTCTCAATATCCATGTACGTATATTCTCTCAGCTCTCTCTCAATATTCTCTTATTAGTTTGTATATATATTCTCTCAAATCTCTCTAAATATTCTGTTAGTTTGTATATTCTCTCAGCTTCGGTTTCTTAATATGGGTTCTTTTATGTTTTGAGAGCTATGGGTTCTTGATGGGAGCTATATATGGGTTCTTGAAAAGGAATGGAGATGGAAGAATTAGGCTTTGGTTTTTTGTAAGCCACGAAGACGGTTGGTGGGACCAACCATCATCTAAATTTTTATTATACGTCAGCTTTTTATTTACTACTGCCGTCAACCCTAACCTTAACAAATATCTTGTTAGTTGCTTAAAGACGATGGTAAATAGACATGCCGTCGTCTTAATCTATGTTACGCGACTATTATTTTGTAAAAACCGTCGTCTGATTCTTGTGGAATTTTTTTTCCACTTTGTTCTCTTCTCTGTCAATATAGTATTGTTTGTTGGTCTTTTCACTTTATCATATGTGTGATTTTATAGTGTGTGAGATGGATAAGTCATGGATGCATGCGGATAGAAGATCAAAGGCATATGAGTTAGGTGTGGAAAGATCTTTGAATTTTTATGTAGAAAATCTTGAAAATACAACTCATATTCATTGTCCATGTGTTAAATGTGGGAATATTCGATTGTTTGGAGTTGGAATTATAAGGGACCACTTATACTTTACTGGAATTGACCAAAGCTATAAGATTTGGACATGGCACGGAGAACCTTGGGAATGGACTACTAATGCTAGTAGAAATGTGGAAGAAGATGAGCAAAGTAGGTTCAGTTTTGTTTATGAAGAAGTAGGGATGGATGATAATGATTTAGGCGATATTGGATTTGATCCTTATGAGTTTGCCAATGTGATTGGAGATGGAGATCAACCCTTATACCCTGGTAGCAGTAAGTACACGATGTTGTCGGCTTTGGTAAAAGTCAAAGGACTTTGATCAATAACAACTTCTACATGGATTTCACCCAACATCTACATGGATTTCACCCAACATCTCTCATAAGAATTGGACTTATGCCAAATTTTCTATAAAATGGAGAAGAAAACTAGGTTTTGAAGAAAATAAATCCTAGCATTGAAAAGACATGAAATCCAAATCTTGCGAGATATATTGAAATATGAAAAAAATGGTTTTTTAGATAATTACCATATTAACGCCATCTCCAAATTAAAATGTAAAAATTTGTTTGGTCAAGATTAGGATCTTTCCAAGCGACAAGTCCTTACTCTTTCCTAAGTTATAGGTAAATGAAGTTTCTAAAATTTAACAAAAAGATAAGAAAGAAAAAATGATAAACCAATCTGGAAATTATGTTATTGGTTAGCTAGTAGCTTGGTCTTCACGTCACAAATGAAAACCTTATAAGCATCAATTAAACCTGACCGACTTTATACCCTAAACCACATATTCGATGCATCTTCCAATGCCCTAGAGTAAACTATAAAGCATTACAGAGCACAATCAAGCAGCCGCTAATTCTGTCAGAAAGACAAGCTTATTTCCTTGTGGAGAAAACAAAGAACTACTGAGTGAAGAAGAATAATGAAAAGAAAGGTAGAAGAAAAATTAGACGGAGAAAAGCACAGCATGTGCAGTCATGGAGTGCACTGGTTGAGAGGGAAGTTGATTGGAAAAGGAAGCTATGGTTATGTTTTTCTTGCTACTCCCAGGAAACCAACAAAGGATGAGCATAGCCGCCGTATGCTCAATTTGCGAGAAATGATGGCGGTGAAATCAGCGAAGGTCTCTGCTTCTGAGTCCATTAAACATGAGTCAGACGTTCTCCTTGAGATCAAGGGTTGCCCTTTCATTATCGAGCGCTTGGGTGAAGAGACCACGGCCACAGACAAGGGTGACATGGTCTACAACTTGTTGTTAGAATTTGCTTCCGGAGGAACCCTAGATGGTCTCATACATAAATCCAAAGGTCATAAATTACCCGAATATGATGTTAGAAGATACACAAGGTCAATTCTTGAAGGGATTCAACATATTCACAAGTGTGACTATGTTCACTGCGATTTGAAGCCGGACAACATTTTGCTTGTGCCTACCACAACAACTAGTTCTGGTGGTACTAGTTTTGTAGCCAAGATTGCAGATTTTGGACTCGCTAAGAAAACCAAGGTGAATTACAGTCGATGGAGAGGCACGCCTAGGTATCTGCCCCCAGAGGCCTTTATTAATAACAAACAAGATCAGTCCTCTGATATTTGGTCTCTAGGTTGTATTGTGTTTGAGATGCTAACCGGCAAGTCGCCCTGGAATTTGAAGCCTGGTTACAATCCAAACAATCTCGCTGACGTGTTGATGTTTGATCATCTACGTACTTGCAAAATTCCGACTGGAATCTCAGATGTGGCCATGGATTTTCTCAAGAGTTGCCTTGCGATAAACAGCAGGGAAAGATTAACAGCGGAAAGTCTCTTGTCTCTTCCATTTGTAGCGCAGCCACAATCATCAAAAGAGGGTCATACCAAGGTGAAGCTGGTTAACTCTTTTTTGGGCTACGCATCTGGTGTATGTTGCTTCAAACCGAGCTCAGATTACCACGCAAACTCTGCCATTGTACAATGAAAGCATCTTTCCCTGCCGGATTTCGGTATTCCAGCTAGGTTGTTTGTTGTTGTATTCCTTTTTTGTTTGTAATATGAATCAATTCAAATCAATCATGTCAAGTCTGTAACCACAAAAGTGTACAAACATATAATTCAAGTTTTTATCGAAATATCTGTGTACTTTTAATGGTCTCAATATAGTAATATTACAGCAACTGAGACAAGCTGTCTATTATGCCTTTAAAATAGCTTCACTTCCATTTCTATTATGCCTTTAAGATGATATTTTGGAAGAATAATTGGATGAAGGATATGATTTGTGGGGGGACTGATGATATTTTAGAACATAAATGGATATCTATAATGATTTGACTGGTGATAGCGAGTCTTCTATTTCATGTGGTTATGAATGTATATAGCTTGGCTCAGAGAAATTTTGTGATTTTTTTTGTTGTGCTACTTCTACTGGGATTCTCTGGTTTTCCAATTGCTGCAGTGTCCTTCTCTTCTGGTGGTTAACTGATCATTGACTACATGAAGCAGGACAATGAAATTTGATGCAGGAGAGACTAGTGGAATTCGAAAACTTATACGCACAAATTAAACTTCTATCAATGGAGTTTTGAAAAAAAAAACAAATAAAGCATATAAGATTTTACTCAGTTTGTCAACATTATCACATTAAACATTCACTTCTGTAGCAACACAAAGGAGAGAGAGAGAGAGTCTGAGAAACCATTGTCGTACAGTTACTAGGTACAGTTACTTGTTGACAAGGAGAACGCATTGTCGTACTATGTACCTTTCGTATGCATACAACATTCCTTGTCCAACAGCTCTCATCGTCAAGATTGCTTTTGTTTGGGTCCTCTTAAAATTTCAAATAATGTGCGAATTCACGATGCAAGGAATATGATATGCATACGAAAGGTACGTAGTACAACAATGTGGTCTCTCTGTCAACAATCAACTGTACCTGAATTGGGGGAAGATTGTAGGGCAGTGTTCGAGATAAAAAGGAATGATATCTTCAACAGCATACAAGGGACGATTATTTTCATATGGGGTAGTGAGCATGGCCGCTAGAAGGCCACCTGCGCTCGTCCCTGCAACCACATGAAAATAATATGCAAGTTACATGCTTACGATCCAGCTTCTGCATATATATAGCCAACAAGTACTAAAGCAAAAAAATTAGTCATATTAAAAACAAACATGAGAAACACACCAACATCAAAATTTGAGAAGTGCAACAAACATGCTAGCTAGGTGTAGCACCACGTATCTAAACTTTACAATTTTCTTTATTTCTTGTTTTTAATAAGTGGGGACAAAAATTGTGAGAATAGCACTGAATAGCTAGGTATTAGAGTCCTCATAGTTTAGGCGTTTAGCAAGTAACTTACCGTGGCATCAAAAGAGCTATAAATCTTGCAAGTCAACATCATAATAGCAGATTAATTTGTACGGCACGACACAAAGATGTAAAGAAAGGCCATTATGTTCTCTATATAATTAAAGTACTGCAGAGCAGTCTAGTATTTCAGTACACCTGCTCATTGATTCATTTACCTTATCAAATCCTAGCTGCTTTGCCACTAGCACTAGCTTCAATGGAATTGATTAACAACCAGCTGTGCAAATAATATATATACTAAAGCTAATCCAACTAAACACTGTTCTTAAGCACAGTATAATGACGGAAATGCCCTCATTTTGCTATTGTTTTTGTTTTGTTTTCTCTTCATAACAGTAAATTGACGAAACTGCCCTCAACTAATGACAAGACCCGCCCCAGAATTTCCCCTGAACCCGAGGCGGATCCCGTCTTGGTGTCGACATCACACTGATGCCGGGCCCACTTACTAAAAATCCAAGACATCCTACCAAAATTTTGGCAGAGTCTCCCCTGTAAAATGCTCAAACCCAACAATATTCAACCTGCATAATTTACATCAATATATATTCCAACTGCCAGCATGCTTTTAACATACAACAATCCAACAAAGAAAGGAGCTGTAACTCCTATCAAGGACCAAGGCCAATGTGGTAATTAAGCGTCTAGCTAAGTTTATTGATTTAAAGAAACACTGGATAGTCTTCTTTTGGAGCTTATTAAATTGTTTATGTTATTCTAACTACTGTTAATTGCAATCAAAATACAGGATGTTGTTGGGCTTTTTCCGCAGTGGCAACCACGGAAGGAATTACTCAGCTTACCACTGGTAAATTGATCTCTTTGTCCGCGCAAGAGTTGGTAGATTGTGATACAAGTGTAGAAGACCAAGATTGTGAAGGTGGCTAGATGGACGATGCCTTTCAGCTCATCCAACAAAATCATGGGATTAGAACGGAAGTTATTTACCCTTACAACGGTGTTGATGGTACATGCAACACCAAGAAAGAAGCCACCATTGCAGCCAGGATAACTGGGTAATGTTCCTGCAAAGAGTGAAAAGGCTCTTCTTACCACTGTTTCTCAGCAACCAGTTTCTGTTGCCATTGATGCTAGTGGTTCTGATTTCCAATTCTATTCAAGTGGTGTCTATACAGAAACTTGTGGAACGAGCCTAGACCATGGTGTTACTGCAGTTGGTTACGGCGAGAGTGATGATGGGACCAAGTATTGGTTAGTAAAGAACTCATGGGGGACAGAATGGGGTGAAGAGGGGTACATAAGAATGCAAAGAGATTTTGATGCAGCTGAAGGACTTTGTGGCATAGCGATGTCTGCCTCTTACCCCACTGCATAGTTTTAGCATCACCTTAAACAAATTCCTACAATATATACTTTATAGATATATCCAATGATATCTTTGAACTTGTAAGTGTAATTAATAGAGATCGTATCGCTGAAAGTCACATTTTGTTAGTTAGGGGTGTATGAGAGAGGCTGGAGAGGATATTTTTGGGAGAATAATTGGCTCAAGGTACTGATTATAATGGAAGGTGACATTCCAATAGAAGATAATAGTGAGTTTTCTATTTAGCTTGGCTCAGAGGAACCAGAAGCTTTTTTTCTGTTGTGCTACTTCTACTGGGCAACGAAAACAGATTCGGTGGACTACCACTGAAAAACGAAAACACATTCAATGGACAGCCACTGAAAAACAGAAACAAATTCGGTGGATTCCCACTGAAACAAGGTAATTTAAGAAATGGGGTTCATGAGGGTAATTTATGAAGAAAATGGGGTGTAGTGAGTAATTTTAAATTTTACTAAAATTCAATGAGGTGTAAAGAGAATGTGGGGTGCAAAGAGCAAATTTTGGGGTGCCAATAAAATCATCCTTAAGTTTATGGAGTTCAATATATTTCAATTGATTTCTATAAATTCCACATAGAGTTTGACTGATTTCCTAAGTTGATTAGAGTTCAAAAAAAAAAAATTCCCTTTTCTTTGGGCTATTTATTGTTTTTCCATATTTTCAAAATAGAAAATTACCTTTACAAAAACAGAACGTCCAAACAGTATACATCAAAATAAGAAAAAAGAGAGTATATGCTTTGTTCAAATGTGCAACCAAATAAGGATTTATGTCTGCATATTTATGAAAAATGAGTAAAAACATAAAAGTTAATTCATGACCAAAAAAATGATAAGTAAATTATAATTATAAATGCATAAAAACAAATAAGTATCTGCTTCATTGCTTATCTTTAACTCCCGTCATTCATAGCATCTCTCCACATATTTGAAGATATTCCAACCCTCCATTGGTTAGCATTCACGCATTGTTGTTCTTGGGTTTGAAAAACTTGGTCATAATTATTTCCTTCATTTTCTGGTAATGATGACAATGTTGAATGGTTGTTGTTTCCTTTAATAGGAAATTCATCAAAATGACACTCCTTGCGCAGAAAATTGTGCAACCTTGCACAAGCTAAGACTAACTCTGCTTGTGTCTTATATGGAAATGGAGGGGCAGACTTAAAAATTGTGAATCATGACTAAAATATACCGAATATTCTCTCGATTACGTTTCTCAAGGAAGCATATCTAAGATTGAACAACTCGACTGCATTTTAGGGATCACGACCTTGACCGACAAAATCCTGAAGATGATATCGAACACCTCAAAACGAAGCTAAAAATTGACGTTGATTTGGGAATCTACAATCCACTGAGAAATCTTTATCTGTATATGTGATATAAGTCCAATTAATATTTACAATACTACCTAATATAGACAAAAATAAATAAATATGTACCTTGTGGCACTTTAAGTTCGTTCCTTCTTGATAAAGAATCATTTAACACATTGGAATCATGAGCTGAACCCTCTCATCCACTAAGAACATATATAGTAACCAAATAGTTCATTCTGAACCAAAAGACAAAAGTGAAAAAGCATAAAGGCACATAAAACACAAGCAATACTCACAAGTAAGACAATAAATAGGACCAAATAGTTCCTTCTAAACCAAAGTTGAATAAATTCCAAACTAATAAAGTCTTAACACTTCTCCAAAATGGTAAATACTTCCAAACCAAAGTTATAAAAATAGTTTAAACCAAAATTTCAACATAATCTAAAATGGTAAACATAATCTCAAAGAACCACACTCATTCCATATTGTATAGTATCCATTCTGAGCGCTCTTCAAGTAACATTTCTAGGAACACATTTTTCATTCCCAACTTATGAACCAGCCCAAGCGCTTTGTAACAAGCACGACTATCGAAGTTTGGAGTCTTCTTGATAGCATCCTAAACATTGTTGGTTTTCTCTCTCTCTTTCTCTCTTTTCTCCATTAGGCTATGCAATCCTCGAATTTCAATAGTAATTGCAGCAATTGAATACATGCCCACATAAATTTTTTTCTACCAATTCTCGAATTATGGTCTCAACTGAACTTAGTATTTTCTTCAGACTCGGTTTTAGGTTTCTTTCTTGGAGAGAGCTTTTCTAATGGAGCCTCCAAATTTGTGTCTAGAAAAGGTGATGAAGTAAAATTACCAGATGACAAAGTTCGGTATGGTGTTTCATTTTAACTTGGTACAAATGCCTCATTGGT